ATAGACGAATGCACATCAAATTATAAAATGTTTTATACGAATTTTACACTTTGATATTTCGTCTCTAAAACAGCTACGTAGCTAAAGTTATGAAAAATTTCAAAATTATCAAAAATGTCACAAAAATATAAATTCTCAAAAAAATTCTCAAAAAAATTAATTTTTAAAGGTTTTCAATCTACTACATACAAAAAAGTATATTATTTCAGGCTTTTATTAAGCTTATTTTGTAAAAAAAATGTCCACACAAGGCAGTGCGCTTAACCATTATGCCATGGAACACTTTTAGATTAATCATCCACCCTAACCATTGCGCCATGGAACACTTTTAAAGGTTTTAAAAACTTCAAATTACGGTACGGAAAGTTCCAGCAATTTGCCTTAAGGCACGATGCCATGCACCAATAGTAATTAATGCAGGTGATGAAGTGGGGGGTCTCAAAAAATGTGCACGTAACCATACCCCTAATTTTAACTTTAATTTTAATAAAAAAGAATAAGAATATTAATTAAAGTGTTCCATGGCGTAACCAGTCGTGTTGTGCTAATATTTTTATTACCGGAACGCTAAAATTAAAAAACCGATTCCAAAACCGGTTCTCATATTTGTTCCGGTTCCGTTCGAAAAAAAGAAACAAAACTCATTGTGTACATATTATGTATGCTTATTACAATAATAGAAACTTTTAATAAAAATTAGTAAGTTATAAAGTTCACTTATCACATTCTTTTCTATATGTATCGATTTTTTCAAATTTTATTTTGCCGGAACGCGTTTTAGCCCAAAAATGATTTGCCGGAACGATGGTCCGGCGCGTTCCGGCTCGACGACACCACTTGGGCGTAAAAGTTAAGTGCAAAGTCTTGTGTGGACATTTTTTCACAAAATAAGCTTAATAAAAGCCTAGTTTAATATGTTTTTTTTGTATGTAGCAGCTTGCTTATGGAAAAATAGAAAAAACATATATTACATATTTTTCAATTAACTATGTTAATTATTAAATTAATGTTATGATGGAGTTTGTCGGAATTTAGTGCAAATATGGATCAAGTTTTTATCTTATAACAGGTTTATGTAATAACAAATCATTCCTTTTGCCTTTTTTCATTCAAGTGAAGAATTTACCCCTCCAAGGGCAAGGGCATTAAACTTGCGTAACCTGTTTGATTTTCAAAACACCATCGGGCAATACATGTTCTTCGGACTCGAGAAATCAATATGGCAACCTGTCACGTTCTGTCAGCTGTTATGTTTTGTATACGAAATGTCATTTGACAAATTAATTTAATTAAACTGTAGTTATAATAATTGTTGTTAAAATGACCGGAAGAAGGAATAACGCTGTTCGCATCGAAGCGGAAATAGAAAAGAGCCGAGAGAGGATGCCAATTGGAGAAGAGTCATCGAATTATCAGATCAACTAAAAACCAGAACCCCGAGCTTCGAATGTCTCTCCAATTTTCTCATCGGCGAAGGAAAGTTGGAGAGCTATTTAGAAGAAAATCCTCCAATAGAGGCTAATTTTAGCAAAGCCGTTACAGGTTTAAGTGATGCCAAAAAATTATTTACTCTTAGCCGCCAATAATTTAGGCCGTAAGGCTGGTGTGTTCCTGGACGCACATTTGCTTCTAGGAAAACTCCACTATGCTTGCGGAATGTTCGCGGAAAGTTTAGAAAATTATTACACTGCCGAATTGCATAAGTTACACGAGAAAGAATTACCTTTACGTAGTTTGCATATAGTAGCTGAGTCTTTTGCCATTAAAGGTTTATGTTTGGAAAAAATTGGTAGTCAAAGTAGTAGTAGATATAAACAAGCCGAGAGTGAAGAAGAGCTTATTAGAAGTTTTGAATTAGCTGCTGATTTAGGTTTATTGTATCTGCAAAGGATAGAAAATTTGCAATCGAGTTCTATGACTAGTTTATTGTATACAGCAAGCACTGCTCCACCTAGTACACCTACGATAACTCCAAAAGGGATTGGCCCGGCATTAAGTACAGCTTTGCAACATGCTCCAATTTTACACATACGTGCAGGTAAGACAAAATTACATAACGTTACATTTTACATTTTTATTAACTTTTCAGTAAAACTGATTGTCAATTTATTACCAGTTATAATTTTACTTTATTTTGTAGGTAAAGTTGAAAATGCTATAGAACGATATAGATCAATGCTCATGGCCGTAGAAAGCGCTACAACACAATCAATTAGACTAACTCTAGCTCGCCAATTAGCAGAAATTTTATTAAGAGGTGCCTCAGGGTCTTGTTACACATCACCTCCTAAAGTAACCAAAGGTTTTGGAGAAGGCCCTTGGAAACAGAAGAAAATATACATCACCCAGTCAATTCACACCGTCTGATGAAAACGAGGAAACTATTTTATTGCTTTTATATCAGAAAGCACTAGCTGTAAGAGATGCTGTTTTATCACAGTCTCCAGAATGTAGAGAGGCCAGAAACCTGGCTCTAGGAAAGGCTACTGCCATATATGATTTATTAACAATAGCCACTGTTTGGTGGGGCCAAACTAGTTTACTCCATGATTCTTTCGAAAGAGCAATAAAATTTTCATTTAAAGAAAGACATGTTTGGAATCAACATGCGTTAACATTAGGCACACTAGGGAGATACAGGGATGCTTTATCAGCTTTACGTGAAGCGATAGATTTGGCTCCTGATGATCCTACACCTTGCTTATTAGCTGCAAGGATATGTTATGAACACAATCACCAGATTGAGGAAGGTTTGAAGTTTTCAAGAATGGCTGTGGCTCGTACGGACAATCAACACAATCGTGCAATTGTGTATGAAGGCATTGGACTGCAGATGTTGGCTAATGCAACTTATATTAAAGCTAAGAAAGAAAAATTACATGAAAAGGCATTAGCTGTATTTGAGAAAGCTGTAAATAATGATCCTAATGATCATTTGGCCTATTATTATTTGTCTTTGCAGTGTGCTCTGTTGAATAGGATTCCATTGGCTCTGCAATATGTGCAGATTGCATTGATGCTTCAGGTATGAACAAATAATTACTAAAAATATCTTTCCTTAAGGTCCTTTATTCTAACTCCGCTTGATTAAGTTTTGTTTATTTACTTTTCATGTAAACATATAACAATGTAGTAGTCCATTTCATAAATTTTATATTTTGTCTTATATATGTATATCTTATATATGAAATTCTTGTGTATGGGTGTGTGATTTGGTACTTCTCCTAAACGGTTATTTGGATTTTGATAATTCTTTTCAGAGTTTGTCAAAGGAAATTTTTAAGATTAATGAACCATAAAAAATATAGTAATATTGTAGAAATAATG